AACAAATCCAAGTACTATACATGCGCGCAAGAATTTTAATCAATCATGGTCTTCGAAAAATTGTCATTGATATAAAAAACAATTGAAAGCTTTAGGAAATAGTCCTTATGTCTCTCTCTGAGAACTGAGTGGCAAGGGTGTGGGATTAGTTTTGGGCTTATGACCGTTATGCGACTAACTGGCAAGAACCATTGTGCTGATCTTTGCGTTTGAAAGAACCCCGCGAACCTGAAGTGGAGTTGTGTAAATAGACGTTTTTCTAACCTCCTTCTAAAGAGCTTTGTATGCATAAAACTTGTCTTTCACTACCGTAAACTTTGTTATCATCAATATAATAAAAATAGTTACCTCTGGATTTGATGTAATATAAACCACTGCATTCGCTGATGCATTTATGGTCACACAAGCTGAGATAACAACGAAATATTCCACTCCATTGGCCCCAATTAATATGGGGAACACACGAAAGGTGACCCATGCACCCAAATAAAACATAGATATTGCACAAAATTGCAAGGCATATCTAGAACAAAGCATTTGCTCTTGCGTAAATAGGTTTTGGCACTACACATACCTATATTCCTTAATTCGTCGTCCATTGCCAGTATGGTCACTCTGGTATAGATGATTCATCTTCCACACATAGAAGATGATCTGACATTAAATGAATGATTTCACGGGAATCCACATCACTTGTCTAATACTTACATAAGAATAACAAATTGCACATATGGCCGAAGACGAAGAGTTTAGAGGGAGGTCGATATATTCATTTGAATAGTTGGGAATGTCTCTTTTGGCAGTGTAGGAGTAGGAAAGAAGCTCATGGTCAAAAGAGATTCTGGAAAGCTTTCCTAGGTTTTTCTCAAACGTGGAGTATTTTTTTATTAATTATGTGCCCTCTCTAAATGTAATATAGATGTCAATCTTGTCTCGGTTGGTCTCACAAATTCTTGCGAACACATCATCTGTCGTTCAGTTGACTGAGAAACGTCAAGTAACTTATGACCAACAACCTCGTCGTAGTTTCCAGCTTTTGTCCAAATAGGCATGAGACACAAATGCAAGACTCGATTTGTTTTCTTAAGGTGGGCGACCGCTTTGTTCAAAAGTTCTTGAAGGCAGCAAAGAGGCAGCTCTAGTCTTTAATTTATCTCTAAACATTCATCACTTACTGACAGCACGGACTGACGTATTGAGATATCCAAGTAACAAGAATCGCTGTCGGATAAAGAGTAATAACTAATCTAAGCACGTTTTGAAATGAGAAAAACTGAATGGAGGGTATACAAATCACGACAACCCTTAAAATTTTTTAAATGATTACGCTTTTGTAAAGCAAAACCTTGCGTGGCTTTCACCTGTTGACTGCCATGAGAATTTGGGCAGCTGAGCCATAGTACCAACAGAATAAGAAAACAGCTCCGAGAAATTGCACGAATCTACTTTCTCTCCCTTT